GGTCTTTTGCCCCCCTCCGCCCCCCCCCCCCCCCCCCGAGTTGCTGCAATGAGAGAGACGCGTCAGTAGCCTAAAATAAATAGAAATAATTGTGGTGTTAGAGTTGCACTAATTAGGATTCAGGTTTAATTTCCCATGGTTATGAATGAGCGAACTTCCCAAATCCCAGTTCTTTCATAGATAATAATTAGGGTTGCCAGGTGTCCAGTTTTGAACTGGACAGTCCAGTATTTGAGTTTTCTGTTGGGAAACAAATTGAGAAAATGTCCAGTATTTTCTAAGTAAGATATAATGTATATTGTGATGTCATGTCAAGTGTGTCCAGTATTTTTGTTGAAACCATCTGGTAACCCTAAGATTCAAAGCAAGTATTTGTTCTCTGACTGGAATAGGAATGTAAGTGACTAGTAGACTATCCAGTAAGCATATACTTATCAAATACTTGACTAGTGATTCAACTAGTCACTTCCCCTGGCCCCTTGCTGCCTTTATAAGAGAGAGGCAGTGAGGGGGGCACAAGCCAGTGCTGGGGGGGAGCTAGCTTAAAAGCCAGTTCCCCCAGCACCATCTCCACAGAGAGCAGGGGAGGCAGAGTCTTAGCGGGAGACCAGGCATGAGCTGAGAAGCAGCTGATTCCTGTCTGGCATCCAGTCCTCCCTCCTCCCATCTCCACAGGGAGCAGGGGAGGCAGAGTCATAGCGGGAGACCAGGCATGAGCTGGGAAGCAGCTGATTCCTGTTTGGCATCCAGTCCTCCCTCCTTTCCCCTCCCTCCAGCTGTGCTTGTGCTTTTTAATATATTAAGAGCCAACATGTTCTTAATACATTTAAAAGGCTAAAAGTGCAGCAATGGGGACCAGGAGCAAGCCAAGACAACCGATTCCTAGCTCATACTGGGTTCCCCCCCCCCTGGAAATTCCATCGACTGTTGATTACCTGATTAAACGCCATTTATCATCCCTAGTCTGAAGATTGTCACAAGGACAAGGAAGTTTCTTTCCTCCCTAAACAGGATTTAACCATGGAGGAACTAGAAACTGTGGAGGCAGTCTAATTTCTTTAATCAGAATTAGCCAGAAATAAGGAAATAATAATTTAAAAAATCCTTTAACACCATACAGATATACTCAAAATGACAGTTAATCAATGAGAGGTCCCCAGTTTGAAAGGCCTGCCCTTTGCCCATTGCTCTCCTGTTGGTTACTGTGCCTGCAACAGTCCACAAGGAAAGCATTACTTTTGACAGTCTTCTTACCTCATGTTTGTTTTCTTGGGGAGTCATACTTTTCTCTTGCATCTCTGACTTCTGTCCCCTACATGTCTTTTTGTACAGAATCTCAGTTTATTGGTTAAAAGAAAATCACTTGTTCTAGGCAGAATATGTCTGACCTTGTTTTTCATCTTTTATTTCTGCAGTTGTGGAAGTTACTGAAGGAAGTACAACTATTGTAAGTTACTACTTTTTTCCCAACTCACAATACATACTACTTCTGAAGCCACAGCTTTTTCTTATGTAGGGAGAAATACATTTTCTTCAGAAACTTCAGGGATGGAGTTGTTTGGAGCATTTTGGCCACACTGACTTATTTTGTCTGGAGGTGTAACATATGTATATTTCCTTTCTGCTTAGTTCAGTTCACTCTCTTAGTAAATGTTCTGTGGCTTGACTACAAAGCTAATGTAATCGTGTTAGGAATTCAGGCAACCTAAGTGAGTAATTAAGTTGTCAAACTTTTGGGGCTTCCCCTCTTGTTTGGATGAAAGCAGCATGAGATCTTAAACTCTGATAGTCAGAATCAAATGTAGCTGCAAAAGCTCCCATATTATGTTCCATCAGTGCAACCACTAAAATTGGCTCAAGAGGGAGATGGGTAGAGGGCAGGTTTGTAGATGGAAGGGGGTTAGAATCCTTCATATTCAATATTTTCAAAATTGAGAGACACGTGATATCACCTGTAGGTCCCTCAGCAAGAATGGCTCTCTAGGCTTTTGGTTCCCAGTCCCCTTCTTTGGAGTGTAGACCTGCATCTCTCTTCTTTACGACTAAGGTATTTCCAAGCTGGACAAGTTTACACACTAATATCTCCAGCAGAAATCAAGCTTTTGTATTTCTCTTCAGAGATGGTTGTTAATATCATTACTACAGTTAATATACTACGCAGCTCTTTCTAAGCAACCACATTTTATTTTTAAGGTAAAAGCAATGCAGTAAAAACATTTAAAATGTCCCACTCCAGGAGTACTAGTTTAAACAAAAACAATAGCAGAGCCTACACGCGTGGTATGAAGCTTACCCGAAATCGTCCGAATTCCAAAATAGACTCAGGCAAATGATCAGTCCAACACAGTGATTTTTCATTAGTTTCAAATTAATAAGATCCTTTTCTCAGAACAAGAACACAGGCTTATGGGGTTTTCAAAGGTCCAAGTCATTCCAGCCCTTCCTTAAAGTTCTGGGCCTTCAATGGATCAGAGATCCTGTCCATTTCCTAGATCAGGAGGAAGGCAAATGCCAAAGTAATCTGGGGTACTACCAGCAGGTATAATTAGGTGTGACAGGAGGAAATTGAAAGTGGCCTACAAGTGTCCCTTTTTACTTGCTGGTGATGTAGAGACAAGATTTGGCAAGGCAGCACTTACCAAAACATGTGTTCCCTAAAAAACGTGGGTATTTTTTTCAGCGATGTTACATTAAATATCATGTCTTGACTGAAATCTGAGCACCTTGATGGGAGCAGAAGTTGGTGTTTTTTTATTTTAGATTGATTTAATTATATAACCTAAAAGAGCTATCCAGGTCTCTGTCTCCTTGATTAAGAAACTAATTGTATTTTTAACATACTTTTGCCAACAAAACTAAAACCAACCAGCAGCCCTGGGAATTAGGAGAGGGATGACAATATCTCTTTCCTATCCTCAAGTCCATATGCACTAGCTATTAGCATGCCATTCTAAAGGAAAATATAAACTAGCACCATGCCCAGAGGATCAAAATATTGATATTTCAGTCTAAATGAAGAAATGAATTCTAATGTTGGAAGCACTTCAGGGAGAACACCCTGCTTAAAACATTTCCTTTCAAAACAAGGGACTTAAATGAAAGTCGATTATTGAAATCAGCTCAGTCTTCAACTTCCAAGCTCCATCCAGAGCACTTCTCAATAAATTAGACTTGAGGTAACAAAAGCATAGCTTGCAGTAGCAAGGTCCTTATTTGAAATAAATGGCCATAAACTCCTGGCCAGATGTAGATGGGGTTAGCGGGAAGAGATGCTGATAATATCTGTTACATAATCTGAACAGCAACTAGAGATCCATCAATATCCACAGAGAAGAAACTCAATAAATGGTGGTCAAACAGCATCAATTAAGGTGCTGGGGCTACAGAGAAGAAACTCAATAAATGGTGGTCAAACAGCATCAATTAAGGGGCCAGACATAGACTTCATTGTATCTTGTACTTACTCCACTCATCCTACCAACCTCAGTCACGTCTACATTTTGCCTCAGACAACTAGCCCGTATTGTATTGCAATCTTTATCAAATATTGAGGAAGGTATTTACCGTGTATCAGTTGAGAGAGAGCTGCGTCTCATCAGCCCATGAAAAGATGAAGTCCTGCCTCCTCATTAGCTTTTCTGCAGGACCAGTATACATAGTGGCTTTGTCTGGACTGCTTTTCCAGAAAAACTTCAGCTGCTTTTCCAGAAAATCAGCTGCTTTTCCAGAAAAACTTGCCAGCTGTCTACACTGGCCACTTGAATTTCCGCAAAAGCACTGACTTCCTACTGTAAGAAATCAGTGCTTTTTGCGGAAATACTACGCTGCTCCCGTTCGGGCAAAAGTCCCTTTTGCGCAAAAGTTTTGCGCAAAAGGGACAGTGTAGACAGCTGAGATTTGTTTTGCGCAAAAAAGCCCCAATAGTGAAAATGGCGATCGGGGCTTTTTTGCGCAAAAGCGTGTCTAGAATGGCCACAGACTCTTTTCCGCAAAAAGTGCTTTTGCGGAAAAGCATCCGTGCCAATCTAGACGCTCTTTTCCGAAAATGCTTTTAACGAAAAACTTTTCTGTTAAAAGCATTTCCGGAAAATCATGCCAGTGTAGACGTAGCCAGTGAGTACATGAGATTACTCCCATGGGGTTGTGTGTTGTCCCGGAAAATCATGCCAGTGTAGACGTAGCCAGTGAGTACATGAGATGACAACACAAAACCCACATGGGAGTAATCAGGTGTAGAGGAGCACTTGCCAAAAAATACATCCTGAAATTTCTCCAAGAGATGAGACTGAAGCCACTGAAGGGCATGTGGCTCTTTGTCTAGGGTTCGAAGACAATTCACCTTCACCTTGTTGTCAGCCATATCAAAAGCAGCTGATAGATGAAATATTATCAGCCTGGATGCTGGATTTTTATCTAGTGCCAGAGTGGAATCATTTATCAGAGCAGCTTTTATTATCATCAGGTCTGTAGCTAGACTGACAAAGAATGGAATACTAGCTGCTGACTTATATTTGGCTAGATTGTTAATCTCAAACCATTATTTTTGGGAGAGAGCTGTACAGCAGTTTCCTTAATTAAAGTTGAGGGTACTGTTTATATAGTGCTGAGTAAGCTGTTGGAACTTGAGTGATAAGCCTTCAGACCCCTGAATGTGTACATAGGCCTAAAATATGGGCTTTTCACCTGATCGTCTCACTTGTTTCCCAGATTGAGGGCAAAGTTATAGAAGATGTCAAAGCCCCAACTCCTCCTAACCCTGCTGGTCAGTGTCCCATTTGTCGCTGGAACCTGAAGTACAAATACAATTATGAGGTAAGTGTCAGGATACCTAGCTAGCTGAGTGTTATTTTCAAAGCTGTGCCTATTGTGCTGCTACTAAACTGCATTGCCTGACGTTCGTTTAGCTTCCTGAGCGCAATAAAGATTTTACCGCTCGATCTGCCCTTCCTTGAGATTTAATGAGACCCTCCCATGGGAGAGCAGTTCCAATGAAGCCACAGTTAACCTTGATGAACAGCATCTAAGCACAGCAGGCTAGTTCTGTGCAAACTACTCTCCTATTACCAATGTGCCCTCTAAATTTTCATTGTACTGAGCAACTTATGTACTTCACAGAGTTCCTCATGGTGAGCCTGCCTCTTCGGGGAAACACATTGGAGGCAGAAACCAGGAGCAGCTGGACTAAGGATGTTAAATCAAGTTGATGGAATTTCCACTGACTACTCGATTAGTCAATAAGGGAGGAAACTGGCCCTGGGAGAGAACCCCTGCTGCTGCTCTGCCTTTTAAATGTAGTAAGAGCCCCCTGCTGTGTCTCTGCCTCCTCTTTCCCCTCTGCCTTCCCCCGTGGAGATTGTGCTGTGGGGAACTGGCTTTTAAGCCAGCTCCTCCAGCACTGCCTCCTGCTCTCTCCTTCCCCCCCCCCCCCCCCCCCCCCCCCCCAATCTCTGACAGTGGCAGCTGGGGGGGAGGAAGAAATGACTAGTTGAGTAGTGACTTGACCACCCAATGAGCCTAGGCTTTTAGGGTAGTCGACTATTCCACTAGTCACTTACATCCCTAAGCTGGACCCTATGGCATAAAGTCTCAACACCATTCAGATTTGGCAGGCTGCTCCTCCATTATGCCAACAGTGAAGGGGCTCAACCATTACACTCTCCAGCTCTGTTAACTGCTTCCCCATTGGGAGGGGCGTGACCTGACCTGTAGGCCAGGGGTTAACTGCAGTCAGATAAGCTCCAAGGTGACACAGCCAATGGTAAAATAGTAATCAGAGCCAGGTGGCATAGGACATAGCCCATGACCTGCATGAGTGACAGAGCAATGTTGCACCAGATAGTGGTGGTGTGTCCTGTGGAGCTCCAGATCCCAGTCATAGGCTTTGTTCCAATCCCGTCGACACAGGCTCTGGCTCCATCGTATACCACTCAGCTCTATTTCCTTCTTTCCTCCCCATTGGTGGAGGTGTGTCCTTCCCGCTACTGGGGTGCTTTGGCCAGACCCTGATGGCTGTCAGCTCCCAAACAATCAGCCAATGGGAGGCAGTAACTGGACTGGATGGCAGAGGGCAGAGTTAAAGCTGTGAGTTGCATGGTTTGAGATACATGGTACCTGCAGGATTGCTATGTGACTATGCACGTGCACAGTTTAGAGGGAACATTGTCTCCTTCACAACCCTCCTTTGGATTGTTCATATCTGGTCTGGAGTAGTTTGAATGTAATGCAAAGAAAGGAATAGGACATATTAGAACTTTGGAAGCATGTACATCCCTTGCCACCCAGCATATGAGCTGGGCTGGATTTATCTGTCTAATGAGCCCCAGTATCTAACATTGAATCAGTCCTCCTAGTGCTCCTGCCGTTTAGTCAGCTTGTTCAAGCCTATTCCTGACTCCAGATAGCTCAGAAAACTTGTGTCTTTGTTTCCAAGGAGGAATTAGATATGATGTATCCAAACACCGCAAGCTTCTCATTACCATCAGTTATCTTTATAACTGGATGACAGAGAATGGGAACAGGGTGGGGAAGATGTTTGGAAACTTGAGAAAATGGCCAATAAATGTTTTATGGAAATGGCCACAAAAAGAGGTTTTCTGTGCTTGAAACCCCTTTGCAGTCAGTAAAAGGAGATGGATTTCTGGCAAGTATTTTTCAGTGGGGAGGAGGAAATCCAATGAGAGTGAGTTAGAACTTTGTAAAATGCACTGGGGCAAGGTCATAGAGAATCCTATAATAAAGTCCTAAAAGCACCTTTGAAAAGGCAGAATATGGAAAATAAGACTTGGAGAACAGAGTATTGACTGTTCAAAAACTGCATTTAAAAAGCCAAAAAACACACAACCAAACAAAAAAATGTTACTGGAAATGAGGAGGAAGGGAACCAGACAAGAATGCACAGCTAAAAGATAAGGCAACCAAAAATGCAGAATAAGTTAATGCCAGTGGGATTAGGGGGATATAGTACAAATACATCTGGAGGAAAATAAAGACTTGTGAGAAAGTAAGCCCACTAATGATGAGGGAGTTGAAAGCCAGGATGATTCTAAAATGGCCAAGCTACTCACGTGTATCCATAACAAGAAAAATAAGGAAAAGAAGTTTGAATAATTGAGCAGTGATGACAATCCTGGGAATAAGCTATTGCAAAAAATCAGGTAAAGCAACTCTTGGAGACATTGACCTGTACGTACATCAGCAGGTCAGGATCACATGCAGCTTTCCAGGCCCTTGAGGGAATTAGCTAACAAACCAACTGTTCCATTAGCAATTATTTGAGAAGGCATAGAAAACTGGGGATGTACCAAAGGATTTGAAAATAGTAAATGAGATACTAAACATCTGAGAGAGGGAAGTATGATCCCGGCAATTGCTCTTTGGGAAATCTAACTTCTCTTCTTAATTATATAACACACACACAAGAGGAGAACCTCATTAAGCACTCGTAGGATAATGGAACTAAGAGCAAAGAATAATGTTGATAACTTATGAAGAATCATGCCGAACAAAAACAATCCATGCAGATGACATGTGAGGGATGTAGCCTTCAGTGAAATATTGTAGAAATTAAATTGGCTAGGATGTGAGTTTGAACACAGACTGTCAAGTGTTATCTAAAAGCAGAGTGCAATAATAAATGATTGGGGGAACTGTCAAATTGCTGGTCTGGTCTTCGTAATTATCCAGAAGAGTCCAGAAATAGAATGATAAATTTGCAGATGATGCTTACAGGAGGCCCCCAACTTGCGATGCAATTGGTTCCTGGGGAAGCATCGCAAGTCGGGGGCGCCGTAACTCAAACCCTCATTTACAATAGGCACCGTGCGCCTGTCATAAATGCGAGCCAAGGACACAAGTCAGGGGTTTTCAGCCCCTTCCGCACTTACAACAATGGTTATAAACGGGGAGGGAGGTCGGAACTCGGGCGGTCGCAAGTTGGAGGCTTCCTGTATTTGAGATGAGTTGCAAACACTGAGGGATATACAAATACTCTAAAACCAGAGATCAGATTTTTTTCATAGTGCTGCCCACACTTTAATGCGAAGATTGTCTTGCGGGAATATCTTTTCCAGCTAATTTGTGCAGAGTATATTTGTGGTAACGAAAGCAGTTGCTTACACAGAAAAGTAATATCAGGAAAGAATGTGGTTTTAGGTTTGTTTAGTTTTTATGTGATTCTGAGCAACTGGAAACAGAGCCATCACCATCTACCTTTCATTAGATCATCAGCAAGTATTTCATGGATCAAAGTATAAGAGTCTCTGAAAAATAAATTCTTGTCTCCTATGCAGCCCAGGCCATCCTTACCCCTAGCACCCACGCACTAACCAAAGCCTGGGTAGGTAGTAATCCAAAACACTCAGATCACCAAAGGCAGGGGGACAAACCTTTGTATTGTCAACAGTGGGTAGAACAAGGAGCTTAGAGACCTCATTAAGCAGAGGGAAATTGCAAGTGAATCACTTTCTAGAGCTCTCTGTGGTAGAAGGTTCTGCCACTCATAAGGCTAAGAGTGCTGCTTGAAAGCACAGAGGTAGTTGTAAGTCAGTCCCTTGTTCTGTTTGGCTTTAGAGCCTGAGAACAGAATTCTAATATCAAAGTTGACTGTAGGTCCCTTGACTGGATGAAAGGTATGGTCATCTTTTAAGATTAGAGCTGCTATTCAGCTAGGCTGGTCAGCATGGTTGTAGTTAGGGATGTTGAGAGGGGGGTTTGCTAATCATGTAGTCAGTAGAATTTGTATCGACTACAAGAGCTAACCCCCACTGCCGCTTTGCAGTTTAAACGTAGTAAGGGGCGGGCGGGTAGCCCAGCTCCTACTACATTTAAACTGCAGAGCTGCAGCGGGAGTAGGTCCCAGACCCGGTGCAATTTGGGACTGAGCCGGGATAGCCCAGTTCTGGCTTGCACTGGGTCCAGCAGCCCATGTCTGCTGGGGTTCCCAGTGGGGAGCAGCCTCTGTTGGCTGGGACTCTCTGCGGGCTGCAAAGCAGACTCTTCTCCTCCCTGCCTCCCCCTCCATTCTGCTGTCTCTGATAGAGGCAGCAGCAGGGGGAGGAAAAAGGGGGTCAGGTGGCACTGTGGACATGGTGCTGGGGGGAACTGTCTTTTAAGATGGCTCCTGTTCCCCTAGGGCTGTGGTTCTCAACTGGTAGTCCATGGACCACTGGGGGTCCATGGTGACTTATTCAGTGGTCCACAGGAACATTGTCCAAAGTCAATTTGGCGTGGGCAGGCACCAAAAATCTGTTAGTAAGAAATAAATTTCAAACCAAAATGTTTGTTGTCTGCTCTTTTTTATTGTGCCTCAAAAAGAAGGTGGTCCACGAAAATTTTTGATTGGTCTGGTGGTCCGTGGACTGAAATGAGTTGAGAACCACTGCCCTAGGGGTCACCAAATGAAATTAATAGGCAGCAGGTTTAAAACAAACAAAGGAACTTTTTCTTCACTCAGTGGACAGTCAGCCTATGGAACTCCCTGCCAGAGGATGTTGTGATGACTAGGACTTTAACAGGGTTCAAAAAAGAGCTAGATAGATTAATGGAGGTTAGGTCCATCAATGACTGTTAGCCAAGATGGGAAAGAATGGTGTCCCTAGCTTCTGTTTGTCTGGAAATGACTGACAGGAGAGGGATCACGTGATGATTCCCTATTGTGTTCCCTCCCTCTGGTGCATTTGTATTGGCCACCATTGGCAGACGGGATACTGGGCTAGATGGACCTTTGGTCTGACCCAATATGGCCGTTCTTATGTTCCCCCCGCCCCTTGCTGCCTCTGTTATAAGAGGGGAAATGCGAGTAGTCAACTCAACTA